AAAAAAGAATGAAGAAGACAGAGATAGAAGAAGAGATGAAAAAGACAGAGATAACCAGGATAATATTTTTGACTTGTCATATTAAACCTAACTTGAATTGTGTTTTTGGCAAGAGCCTATTCCAGGAGAACATCAAAGGAGAAAGACAGGAAAAAAGGTTACTGTAAGGATCTCAGCTTTAAGTGCTTTAACTATTAATTTCACTGCTCAGACAGACAAAGAGTAGAAGATGGAAAATAAAATACACTATTAGAATAAATGATGAGAAATGAACATATAGCTTTAAGGTAATTATTTACTTCACTGAAGGATTCAACAAGATTCAAAGATTCCAGAACACATTCCACTAGCAACTATAACAGGGTCCATACTAGGCAGTGCATAAAGTATTTTAGATTTCTCAGTTGAAAAAAGAAAAAAAAAAGATTTATCATTTGAAAGCTTCCAAAGAGCTCTAATTTTTAAGACAGAGTCAATGGAAGGCAAGGCAACAAAGGACTACAGGAATAAGGATGAGATTAGTCCATGGGTTGGTTTGTCTTGTCTTGTGTTTGAATGCTCTTACTAGCAAAAAAAAGATAAAAATTCCTCTCTATCCCTCTACTGGTCTCTAATTTTTAAAGAAATTTGTTTGGAGATAGTGGTTATATCAGCCTCACACTGATATATGGTATAAATAGACTACCATTAATCGCATACATATGACCTATCTGTAACAACTGATAATTAAGCATCACCACTAAAAAATAATTGGCCAAATCTTAACTTATATTGATTATAACAGGGACCAATATTTTATGTTACCACTGAAAAGAGCTAAAGACAGCTTTAAAACATATCTTGGAGAGAATATGGGACGTAAAGGTCTTAAGGGTTATTAATTCCTCTAAACTACAAACACACACGAAAGCACACTCCTAGGACACTATACCAATAAAGCTGTCTAGTTTAAGAAGCAGAAACCTAGGTTCCAGTTCACCTACTGAAATCCTGTGCAAGTCATTTAACTCTTTGGGAGTCAAGGGAGGGCACTAATAGCAGTTGGCTGAACTTACAAGGTTGTTTTGAAGGAACAAAAGAGAAGGTATAAACAGCTCATAAATCATAAACAACAGGGCAACTCTTAAATAAGTGGAACACAAACTATAAACTGACTGAACACGACAGGTATTAATTCAATTTTGAACACCATAGGTATTAATTCATTAATAATAAACTTATACAATCTAAATATAATAAAACTAACAGCTCTGCAACAATAGTCTGTTTCCCAATAGATATTTACTGAATGTTTACTACTTCCAGGGACTGTTCTACATGCTGAGGACTCAGTGTGAATAAGAACATTCAATAAGTTTATATTATCCTGGAGGTAGACAGTAGACAATTAAAATAATTACAAACAAGTACAATGAAGACAATTAAAAAGGGCCACTAGAACTCTCCTAGCGGCCTACATTAGCCTTTCTAAGGAGCTAACATTTGGCTTCAGTCTGAAGTTTGAGGGGTCAAGGGTGAGAAGACTTTAGAGCAGAGCATTCCCAGCAGTGTAAAAGCAAATACAAAGGCCCAGGGACCAAAACAAGATTAGAAGATTTACGAGCCAGAAGCAAAGCCACTGCAGCTAAAACCCAGTGACCCAGAAGGAAAGAGTGGGTCAAAATGGAAAAAGTGGCCAAAGCCAAGATCACAGGGGCTAGGGAGAAAGGAATGGCATTCTCACCTTAAGCGCAATTAAAACCATTAAAGCAGGGTAGTGATAACAAATCTGCATTTTAGAAAAATCACATAAATTACTATCTGGAGGAAACTGAAGACAGCAAGAGTGAAGGAAAAAACCAGTTGGGAGGCTGCTACTTACAAAGTAGAGATGATGGTGCTTGAATCTGGGCTTTAGAAGCAGAGGCAGAAGGGGATAAGTGGATCTGCCAGGTATTTTGGAAGGAGATCAGACAACGTACTTAAGGATTGGATGTAGAATGAAAGGGAAAGAATGTTGGTTTTTTTTTTTTTTTTTTTTTTTAGTGAGGGGTGTAGTCTCCAAGCACTTAAGTGGGTGGATAGTAGTCATTTTCCAACATAGGGCAGATTTTGAAAATTGATGAATCAGGAGGAAAGGGGAGGGAGGAGTTAATGGTTCTGTTTCACAGATTTGACAAAACAAGTTGAGGTGTCTGGTAGACATCTGGCTATCCACATTCAGAACTCGAGGAGAAGTCTGAGCCAGAGTCATCAAGACACAGATGATTCTGGAGCCACAAGTCCGATGAGAGCTCTCAGAAAGTTAAAGTAGACAAGAAGGGGGCTAGGCTGCGGCTATAGCATTGGAGCATCCAACACTGATGGTCAAAAAGGGGAAGAGAAGCCAAGGCACCTGAGAAGAAACAGCCAGTGAGGAAGGCAAGGAAGGCAGGGGAGGGGGGAATGAAAGAAAACATGTCCAAAGCAGTATTACAGAAGCCCAGAGACAAAAAGAGGTTTTAAAATGATGATATGGTTGTCTATGGCAAATGATGTTAAAAGGCTGAGTAACAGACCAGAGAAAAGAACACTTTCTTTCACTAGATAGAGGCTGATGACTTTGTTAGGAATATTCCAGTGCAATGGTGTAGAAGAAAGTCTGATTAGAAAAGAGTTAAACAGTGTAGGAATGAGCAAGTGGCAACAGTAAGTACAGATAACATTTTCCAAGAGTGTAATCCAGTGGGCAGAAATAAATCAGTAAAGGTGAATTAAAATGGGTTTTATTTGCATTTTGTTTTTTAAAACTAGGTATTAAGACAGGTAACTTAATGACAATGATCAAGTGGAGAAGACAACACTGATGATACAGGAGAAGAAGGGTAATAGCACAGGTAAGCCTCTGAAGAAGCCAGAGGCCATGGAATTCGGGGCTGCAATGTTTGTCTAATACAGATGCAGGAAGAGGCTTCTACTGTAAGAAGGTGGAAAATAAATTATGAGATACAGCTAAGCTGGTAGAATTGGCAATGGTCCTAGTTTTAAAAAATATAAGTGATAATATCAAATTATTAGGAATAACTTCTAAGTAAATATAATGAGAAATCTTCTGCCTAATTGGCTCAGTTAATTGTAGTGTAGGTCATTCATGGAATTGATCTTCTTATGGTCTAGTTAGCTTCACAAAGAGAAAATACAACCAAAACATATCAAAAGTAGCCTCAGAATTATATGCTTTTGGAGTCTGCCTCCAACACTGTTTGGAGTAACAAAAGTCTGTATTTGTTCTATGATTAGATAATAGCTCAAAAGTACTGTCTTTGTATTTGAAAAGAACAAACTATGAAATAAAATGTCAATTATATTAAGACCTTAATGTTTTACAAGAAAATGTAGCATCCTAATTTTGGGAACTAATAAAATTATGTCCCAATTTAGGAAATGAAGTGGGGAGAGTTTACTGGAATGTTGGATGCAGGTAGATTTAACTGACAATCACA